GGAAGTGCTGTGCTTATGTAGCTGGCAACACCTACATCTGGCTAAATAAGTAAAGAACACTTTTGACTCCTACTGCTGACTTCATCCTAGAAAAGACGACCAGTATAGTGGGAAGGACAGGCCAGAGAGCGCTCTGGTAGTTCTTTTAATGATCTCCCAGAATTTAGGGTCACCATCCACCAAAACCTGTATGGATTTTGGTAGCTTGCTACACTAATATGCAGGAAAAAGTGTGTGTGTGTGTGTCTCTCTCTCTGTGTATAAATTAATATATATCACACACACAAACTGAGTGAAAAGAACATTATTACGGTTGCAAACTCAAGCACTCAAAAGTTAGAAAATGGCAGAAATAAAGTTGGCTGCAAGGGGGCTTGCATAAAGTGTATGCAAGGGGACGTACATTCGGCCCCTTGTGTGTATGCATTGTGATATCCTCCTTAATTGCATGGCCGCATAGTAGTCACATACCTTCGATTTTGAATTATCCAGTCAGGGTTGCATTTTAGTGACACTTAAAAACTCTCTTCTACTATGATCCCTTTCTAACTGGCCTCCTTCCTCTTCTAAGCTACTGCCACACTGGAGAGTTTACAGCGGTGCAGCTTGCTGCTGCAAGCTCTGCTATTGTAGCCACTCTAAGCCAATGGGAGAGAGCTCTCCCGTCGGCTTAACCACTCCAGCCCCCGCGAGCGGCGGCAGCTCTCCCCCTGACATAGCACTGTCCACACCCGCACTTAAGTCAATGTCACTTAGGTTGCTTGGGGGTGGGAGGGGTGATTTATTCAGCCCCCTGAGCGACATAAGTTATGCTGACATAAGCTGTAGCGTAGACATGCCCCATGATATTTCTTTGTGCAGTTAGCACTTAGATGTTTACCTCCACTTTTTTCTTAAAAGCGTCAGGAAAATGCCGGTATTTGAAGCTTGTTAATCACAGCACAATAACCAGGTAATTTAGTAGGCGAAAGCAAAATGAGCATTCAGTAGAGGAGTAAGAGAAGCATTACTTAATCAACTCTGAATTCTCCCCATCCCCCCACTGATTCTTGCATCTAAATAGCAAAGAAAGTAAAAGGAGGCTGTGAACACCACTGGTTTTAATGGCGCTTTAATGTTCATGGGTTTCATGCATGCTACTAAAACTTGTTTTTCTCATAACGTATGATTTTTAAGACAGACCTGGACCATAGCCAAGGATGGTGATTACATTTTATGGACATCTGGGTTAAAATAAAATTTCCCATTCCACATAGCCTATTACAGTTATGTAAATAGTTAGTTGTAATATGAACATATGGTATCTCCACTATTAAGTAGAAGAGAGGCACAGTGAGACATGGTTAAAAATGGGAGAACTCTCAATTTATTTTTCTTTAGGCATCTTTAGTATTAGAGAAAGGTACCAGGCTGACAGCTTTGTGAGTAAAGGCTTCTGGTATATAGTAAGTGTATGCAATAAGTGTGTCTTGGATAGTAGCAGCCTGTATTTACCATAGTGCCCTGCCTCAACCTTATTCTGGGTGGACCACACGCTGGAGTTTAGGAAGTAGTTAGGTCTCCTTCCCCATACAACCTTTGATTCCTGCTCAAATCACCAAGAAGGGTGTCTGTTGTGATGGTTGGCTTTGTGATGGGGTTATCTATTTACTGTACAGAAATTACTAACCTCCTCCAGACAGGACATCCTACAGCCGTTGGATGGTAAGGACGGTTAAGTCTTTTAGGCCTTTATCTTGCAATGTGATACATGTGGGTCTTCACTGGGACTTGGCATAGGATAAATTGTGGGACTGGGACCTTAATCACTGTTGACTTCAGTCACAATTCTGCAATCAGTTCATGTGAGCAGATTTTATTTATTTGTCACAATTTATAACAACATATTGCATGATACTGCACAATTAAGGGAAGGCCCAGAGAAAACACTCAGAATAATTAGGGGAATGGGAAAACTCTTATATGAAGAGAGATTGAAAAGATTGGGATAGTTTACCTTGGAAAGGAGATGAACAAGAGTAAAAATGATAGAAGCATATAAAATAACAAAGGTTTCGAGAAGGTAGATCAGGAACTTCTATTCTCTCTACCTCATAACACAAGAACAAGGGGACAGTCAATGGAATTAAAAAATGGCAAATTTGAATTTATTAAATGGAAAGATTTTCACACAACGTGTGATTAAACCGTGGAACTCATTGCCACAGGATGCCATCATGGAGACCATAAACAGAGCAAGATTCTAAAAGAGTTAGAATATGTTATGTGGATAACAACAATATCCAGAGTTATAATCATTAATGACCATTTACATTTTGGAAGAGATATTAAGCCTCATGCTTCAGGGTTTAAGCCAATCTCGCAACTACTAGAGATTAGGAGGTTTCTTGCACCTTCTCTGAAGTATCTGGCACTGGCAACTGTTGGAGACAGAATACTGGACTAAAAGGACCACTGATCTGATGCAGTATGGCAATTGCTATGTTCCTATGATCTTGGACATAGGTTGTATTTGCACCAGTGAAGTGATGATGAAATACTTCATTGCCCATGAGAGTCATTAACTCTTACAAGAAATCCTAAACTTGACACCTGTGTCCAAAGGATTAAATGTAAACTAGTCATTGCTCTCAAGAATTTCTCTGTAGATAATTTACTAAATAATTTGTTTTAATTTTGCTTAAACTTTTTTTTAATGGGTGATCAGAAATGGGTTTAAGTTGTTGTAACCTGCTTAGTGTTAGCAGCCTACTGGTAAAACAAGCCCATCATATTGAAAACAGTTGATTTTACTGGTGGATTTTACTGGTGGATGTCAGAGCCTCTTTCTCCATATTGTAGACTTACAAGAAATGCAGGTCCATAACAGACTGATTTTAATTCTTGGGGGGAGAAATGTCGGTGTGTTGAGGAGAAGCAGCTTATATGTTTTTTTGCCATCCCTCTGACACTTATGGAGATCTGAGGTATTAGGCTTTTAAGCTGCTTTGTACAGTTGAAACTCATTTGACAACGACTTGCACAGATGGTGCTTTACTTTCTGTCTGAAATGTGACGCTTTTTAATTTCCCTCGGGTTAGCTGAGTGAATCTGGCCAGAATTTCCTTAGTGGATATATGTCAGCTGCTCTCTGATTTGCTTATCTGAAATCGAATTCACTATGATAAGAGCAGTAAGTGGGTGCCTTTAATACTGGACAGGGCAGACATTATCAATCATCTGTTTCAGCCCTGGTGTATTCAGTAAGTACTGTATCAGTAAATGCTTCCTATCTAATATGCAGAAGAATGAAATGCTAAAACCTACTTATATATATTGGAAGCAAATTTCCTTTTGTGATGATAGGATACATTTGAAGAGCAGAGGAAAAAATAGTTAATGGAAAAAATTTACTGTTGACTAGACAAGGAGTTTCCTTTGGAAAGGAGATGCTAGTTTGTCCTTGATTTGGCTTAAAGCATAATATTAATATTAGCTGTAAAAAACCTGCCTTATGGAGACTGGCACCCTGAAAACTCTGCTGGCACTTGGAAGCCCCAAATTCATCTTGGAATGGACTGGGGCACAAACACATACAGTAGTTTAAAGATAGCATTCATTAATCTCATTGACTCCAGTCCATCTGTCAGGCAGATTGTTACCAGTATATACCTACTTAAATTGTTAAGAAACCCTTTGCTTTATAATGTGTTTTAGTGAAAGCAATTGACTGGGCTCTAAAAACAGGTTCTGCCATCCAATGCTCACTGAGTTGATAAGACGTACATGCTTACATCTCAAAGGAGAATTTTGCTGAGAGATGTTTTTCCCATCACAAATGAAAACCAGGAAACAGAACAGCTTGTTAGCGTCAAATCTGTTTTCCATGATTCAGTCTTCACAGCGCTGGACCCTGACCACTTACACTGTATACCATGCCTTGGGGGGGAAGGGGACAAGGGAGAGGGGATAAAAGTACTGTATCTGATCATCACAGAGAGATATCTTGTCCAGTTGGAGACTAAGGTCTTGATTCAGCAAAGTGTTTGAAAACATGCTTAAGTGCCATTAGTCAATGAGATGTAAGCGTGTGCTTAATTTTAAGCATGTGCATAATCCCATCAAGTGTTTTGTTGAATTGGGACCCTGAATCCTATCCACACCACAAATATGGGTAGTGTTGGCAAGAGGATTTGACATAAAACCTGGATAAACTGCAATGTTTGTTTTAAAGATCCATCTTCTCTTCAGAGCTAGAAGTTGAACCAGGAAATAAAGTCACTTGTTGTGGCAACAGCAAATTTAAGAACTGGTCCACTACCTCCCTGTTTTGAGTACCTGTGCTCATGCTGTATGAAGGCGGTAGATTTTACTAATATGTGTGGCATTCAAAAGGAGATCCTTCATTACTATAGTGAGCCATTGTTTGATATTGCCCATTTTAACAGTTATCCAGTCCAGATTTTAATGGAATCCCCTAAATTGGTTGTTTTTCCTTGTGTACAAAATGTAGTTTTTGGCATAGCGTTTAGACTAAAATGGCAGCCACAAAAATGATGAGTAAGCTATCAACATTGGAATTTCAAGCAGTGTGAAATATAGTAGATAGTCCCTCAGGTATGTGAATGTATCCACGGTTCTATAGGTGTATTTGTTCATGCATCATGAATAAGTCACTGGGAACACCATTGGGGCCCTATCCTGCTATTTTCAGGGGCCTTGCTTGGGCAAAACAGTTTCCAATTACAGGGTCAGGTCCTTATCCGCACACAGCCAAAGCCTCAGCTGGTATACATCAGCATAGCTCCTTTGAAGTCAATGCAAGCTAAGCCGGTTTGCCTCAGTTAACGGTCTGCCCCAGAATGGAGAGATTGAAGTGCAAGAAAAGATTATTTAATTATTTATTTTGCAGTTCTGAAATGTGGAAATGTTTGTGAACTATTGAAAGGGAAGTAATTTTTATGCAAAGGTCGAGGTGTTAATTAATCAAAGATATCTTCTTTTTTTCCTGACCATCCTAGGCTTTTGGGCAGGCTCATACCAACCACAAGAAGGTAGCAGCCGATGGAGAGAGCAGGGAGGAGACCTTGATTCAGGAGTCTGCTACCAAAGAAGAGTACTACATGAAAAAAGTAATGGAGCTGCAGACTGAGCTAAAGCAGCTGAAGAATGTCCTTGCCAACACCCAGTCTGAAAATGAACGCCTTAATTCTGTCGCACAGGAGCTGAAAGAGGTAAGGGCGAATGGATGCTGTGCATCATAGCATGAATTGCAAGAACACTTTGTTTCTCCCATTGTGAAATCATAGTGTTCTGCTTCATACCTGTGAAGTCATCCTGGGTCAGTATTCAGTGTATTCACCTCGCAGCCAGTAGGACAGGGTGTCGCTCTTGGGACTGTAAGAAAGCACTGTATCCAGCTAAGAAACAGGAAAATTGCTTAGCTCAGGCATAAAGAATCTCCTGACTCGGTTCTGTCTTGGCTTGCACCCTGGCAGCAACTTCTACCGTGAAATCAATGTGTGAGATGGGACAGAATTTGGCCCCTTTGTTTATAGTTAACTTAGAACTTCCTGCAGCCTAACTTGAACAGACACACATGCATGGGATGAAAACCTTGAACTTGGTTACTGTCAAGGTCCTAATATGATTTCTTTGTGTTATAGTTATAAGTTTGTATTTATCTCATGGTAACAGAGTGCTTTTCATAGGTCACTTGAATTGCTGTCGCAAGAGATCTGACCCTTTTATTTCAATCCTGATCATAATATTCCTTTAGTGTTATGGCTGCACAATATTAATAGTGCTGGGCTATCAGGAAGGAGAAAATAGAGAAGTATAACTTATTAAACAAACAATTCCATTATCTATGAACTCTTTTATAGTTCAAATAAAAACAAAATCACACAGGTGTGGAGAGAGGTGAAACCTCTTGACATTTTGAGTTTAAAGTTCACTGATGTTAAACCGTTCCTTAAATTTAGATAGGATAAAAAAGTCTAAAAGCGATAAATTGCAGGGAAGTTATTTCATAATGGTTTATTATGAGACTTCTTGCACCTGCCTTTGAAGCCTTGGATACTGGACTGGTGGGGTAGTTCCTATATAGGTTAGTTATCTGATACCTCTGGTATATATTTCACATTGCTAAGTGACTTACAGAGGCGCCTGGTTTAGTTTTCTTTCTCTTCACTATAATTGAATGGCATATACATGGAAAATACGTGGCAGGAGAAATTATGCAGAAGTGGGAAATCTTAAATTGAGTCCTTCTGGAAAATTCTATTATTTCAGCACAGTAGAATAGAATCTGTCAATACCTAGCCTTTTTAGTATAACAGCATGGGGATTTGCAGCATGAATTACTACAAGTTATTGAACAGGAATAATCTAACTCTCGTCTATCGCTGATTGTGTGCCATGATCGCAGGACTGTAAAGCTGGAGCCCAGCCATGCTGATCTGCTCAGGCAACATGAGCATATGAACCAGTCTCTGCAAGTACATGCAAAGCTATCATGTATTTATTTCCTACCATTAAGATCAGTTTAAATCCTTTCCCGTCTCTTCCCCCCCCGCCAAAAAAAAAAACCAGCCAGGGCTTTGTGCACTTAATGAAATTCCAAATGTTCCTTAAAACATGCTGATAGGCAGATTTCAATCCAAAATCAATGAGTCACCAGCTGTAGTTGATGATGTTTTTTGTACTGTCATGCAGAAACAACTCTACCTAATTTACTTGGAGGCATGATCATGTTGATTAATAAAATGTTGTCATGCTTGCATTAGGACAAGCTGTTTAGCTTGATTCAGGTCCGCCCCTCCCCAGTACATACACGCTGTTTTCATGAGATGGAAACTTTTTTTGTAGATTTGTTCCGAGAGAGCTGAGGAGCTCTAAAGAGGGAAGCAATGACATCAGATCACTCATGGGAACTCAGGGAGATTCTTCTTCTGTTTAAAAAAGGAAGTTGGAAGTTTTCTGTGTTTGGAGTGGGAAAATCTGCTGAATTTCTTCACCTTCTACTTCTGACTAGAAATCAGCTGTGAGAATAATGCAAAGAATGTAATTTCATGGTTGACTATAAATTTTAAATGGATAAATTAAATTCTGAGTAATCCTACTTTTAAAAAAATCTTTGAAGTTTGCAGAACAGTGTATTTTTCTATAGTATGTGTGTATTCTAAAATTTTGACCCCTGCTGATGAGTTTGAGTACTTAAGAATAATGCTGCTTTAAAAAGAGTGGTTGTATGTCATTTCCTCTCTGTCATCTCATTGCTTTTCTCTTTTTCCCATTTAAGTCCCAGCTGTTTCTTCTGCTAGGAAAAAAATAACACAGGGCCTTTAATGTTAAAGTGAAAACATCTGGGCCAGCTGGCTAATATATTTTAGGATTTCCCTCCTGTGAAGGTCCATGCCTCTGTACCACATTTAAATTTAAACTATCCCGTAATTACCATTGTTAGCTGTAATGTTGAGGCAGCGCATGTGAACAACGTTGTATTAGCTATCACAAGTTCTCCAGTTTATTTGGAGCCAAGTCAAAATGCAGCAAATGTCTAACCTGACAGACTCACCATTTTCCAGAGCAGTGGGTCAAGAAATGGCAGAACTTCAAACAATTCCTATTTCGTCGTCATCTTCTTCAGTGTGTTGAATAGCTAAATCGTTTTGCTACTTGGTTGAGTGAAACTGGGAAGAGACATACAGGCTTCTCTTTCTATAAAGATTATGGATACAGTACATACAAGTGAGTTCATTCAAAGCCATTAGAGGGGAGAATTGTAGGAGATTATGCAATAGCAGTTGCAGATTGTTGAGGAAAGTCTCCCCACTCCATTCACCATGCAGGCACGGATAGCCTTAGATTTGCATAGAGAGACAGACACCAGACCGTAATCCAAAGAGACTCCATTCCCTGTGAATTATCCCTCTCAACAGCAACATAGAAGGCATAGGGGTGTGGCTAACTGGTCAATGACTATACAGACAGATCCATTGACTAACACCAACCGTGGAGGAGAACTATCCAGGTCACAGACATTACTGCAATTTGCCCCTCTCCCCCCATCCCCTGTAAGAGTCCCTGTGCAGGATTTGGCCCATTCAGTGTGTATGTTTGGGAAGTTCTGCTTTACTACTATTAGTCAGATTTCTTCAAAAGGAATTGGCTGGCTCCCGAGATCTCTAATGGAACAGAGCGTTGTTCGCCTCCTCTTTGTTCATTTCAGATCTGGTCCAGGCTGGTAGTGACTAGTTACCTCATGAAGGAGGGTGTTTTGTCAATGAGATCTGAGATGGCTTCAGTCCATTTCCTAGTGGAGGTGCCCATATAGCAAAACTGTCAAGAAGTTGAGAATTTAATGGACAAGGAGACTGAATCCCAGTCTCATTTTTAGAAGTGATATATTTGGCAGGGTTGGTGGGGAAGCTAGCACTACCCATGCAGTAACCTATTGTGTGGATATAGGCCTTCAGTTTCCATGCTTGTCAACCTGGTGTCCTTTTTTTTAATCTCGACATAAAAGAAAGATCAATCTATTCTCAATAACAGAACAGGGAAGTGGTTGTACTGAGACTGATTAGCAGCTGACTCTTGAGTTATAATGGACAATATTAGTGGTCATGTAACATAGCAGGATGTTGTTGACATTGGATGCCTAAAGTAATGAATAGATTCACAAGGCAAGAAGAGACCATTGTGATCATCTAGTCTGACCTCCTGTGTAACACAGGCCATAGAACTTCCCCAGAATAATTTGCAAAACATATCTTTAAGAAAAACATCCAAGATTGATTTAAAAATTGTCAGCAATGGAGAATCCACCATGACCATGGTAAATTGTTCCAATGGCTAATTACTCTCATTGTTAAAAATTTACACTTTATTTTCAGTCTAAAGTTCTAGATCATCTACCTCATGCTGTTGTCACCATCAGAAGCTGTGTCCAAAAGGGGATGTGCAATAAAACTGTCTTCTCATAAGCACTCATGTGGAGGTGATCAGTGTTTTGCTAAGGAGAAAATGACCTCTGGTACACCTGAAGTTGCTGAAGTTGATCCAAATGTTTTTGACAGTTTTCCGTTGAATTATCTAGTTCAGTCCTGTTGAGACTGGTTGGCAGGGTGGTTACCAGATGTGAATTCAAGTGCTGCCATTAGCTAGCTCAGCAGCTCTTGTGCCCTGGAGGAGTCATTGGAGGGAAACCTCCTGAACAATTAGTAATTACCGCTCCCTTTTCTCTTCTTTCATCTCTTCTGCATTTTAGCAGTAGGATTGCAAAGCAGATTATTCCAACCTCACATTAGCCACGTACAATAGATAGGAGCCAAAAAATAATTGAGCAGTGCTTTCCCAGGACAGCATGGAAAGTGAGATGCCTCAGTTATATAAACTGAAGAAGAAAAAATGTCTCAAAACAATTGTCTGTATTGTTTCAGTATCTGGGTTTTAAAAAAAAAATCAAACTATTTTTAAGTACTAGGCTGGCTAAAATGACATGGCTCTATATAATCTGCAGAAAATTATGCTTGAAAAACAAAACTCTCTTATTCAGGGTTATCAGGAAGGTATGAACAAGCTTCATTCCTCTAAAACCATAAAGTGGTAGTTATTTTCCTAAGGAAGCTTTTTGTGTTGCTTTGTTCTGTATTATCAGTCATCTTTGCTTGCCTGTGCTATATAGAAAAAATGCATGTCAAACTGCAGGATAATCTACAAAATGCAGTTTCCTGATCCTGCTACCTGCAGGGATTTCTCCCTTTGCTCCCCCTAATCCCACCTAGTTTTTGTTTACTTTTTTTTCCCCCATGGTTAATGCGGATTAATTTTTTTTTTTGCTCCCAAAAGTATTGTCCTGTGGGAGGAGTCAGAGTTTTATAAAAATATATTTGCAGAGGGGCAACATTTTGTACATGACAGTTTTGTTTATTTCCTAAGACCAACCCTTTCTCCTCTGGGGACAAAGAAACTGTGGAGGCGATGTAGGGTAGCAGGTTAATGTTGTATTAAGGAATTAGCCCAGTCATGTGGAAGAGAAAAGGGCACTAAGTGCAATAAGTATCCAGTGCTACATCAGCCCTGTACTGATGGACAAGCTTTCTGGCTTCAACTCATGCCCTAGGCAGCAATTCCCTTTTGTGTCTTCCGCCACGCCCAGCTAGGCTGCACAGTAGCTCCTCCTGTTGACAATATTTATGTACTGTCTGCAGCCTAGACTTCTGCCTTTTTT